AACTGAACTAGGCCTATATAAGATAGACCTTTATTGCCATCATCATCATGAAGACATGATGAGGAGGTGCAACCTTTAAAGAAAAATGAAATACCACATAAGGATAGATGAGRAAAAAAAGCTATAAGATCATATTATATCACTAAATGTGACACACTATGGTGTTTGTAGAAAAACACCTCTGCAGAGCAAGAGCACACTTAGCCAGATAAGTAAGTGAGTTTAGTTCCAAGATTTCAGCTAACCAAATCTATAAAAATAAAAATAACCATAATTTCTGGTTTTGGATGAAAACGTTGAGGAGACTCCGAGCAACAAAGAAGGGAAGATAAGGGAAAACAGGAGAGAGGGAAAGAGCGTCTTACTCCTCCAAGAGCAGAAGCAAAAAAATAATAAAATAAAATAAATTTCAAAATTAAAGATAATGTATAAAAAGTTGTCACACTTCGGACTAATAGAAACTAAGGTATAAAAAGAAATCTAACCAAAAATCTCATGCCCCCCACCCTCCAGCTCCATGGACCCACTAGGGGTCAGAGTCATTGTGAAAGTCCTCTTATGTCTGTGTGCAGAAATGGGTCTAATATACGGACAACCTGACATGTACGCTTCAGTAATTGATGCCCACTTGTCGTTACAGCAGTCTGGTTTGGAGATGAAATGGGTCGATGGTGGGAAACCCCTGTTCACAGTCTCCACCCATCTTGTATCTACAGTTTACACTCAGGTAAAAACACACGGAGGACATTCCTCAGTCACTGCAGGGTGCTCTGAATTTTAATAAAAAGGTTTGTTGGACCATGTTTCCTTCTAGGACCAACATTTACACAACTTCTTCCACCACCGGCAAATCATGGAGGTGTCCGAACAAGCTTCAGAGGGCGAGCTGGTTAAATACCTGAAGGTAGTCTTGCTCCTGTAAAACAACTGTTCTGGATTCAGAGGGATTATTTCACGATGTTGTTCCTTCACTACTCTCATCCCTCCTAGAGTCTTCATGCAATGGAAGGTCACGTGATGGTCAATTTTCTGCCCACTGTCCTCAACCAGCTGTTCTGTGTCCTCACCAGGGCCACCCATGAGGATGTGGCCGTCAACGTCACCAGGTGAGATCCTCTTGTTGTTCCACATTCTGAATGATCTTTGCTTAAAATGTTGGCAAAGTACAGACAGCTGATAGTCAAACGGTCTTAAAGTCTTCTGTTTTCTGTAGGGTCATGGTTCATGTGGTGGCCCAGTGTCACGAGGAGGGGCTTGAACATTACCTGAGATCTTACGTGAAGGTGTCATCTTCAGTCATTCTCTGTGTGTCGATGAGAAGCGATCTTTCACTGAGTCCTTGTCAAAAACTTCAGTTGAGTTAACCTGTTTTTTCCTCTTGCCTCTCAGTTTGTGTTCAAACCAGAGCCATATTCCTCCATGTCTGTAAAAACCGTTCACGAGGAGCTGGCAAAGGCCATGACGGCCATTCTCAAACCGTCCACCGACTTCTTGACGAGCAACAAGCTGCTCAAGGTAAACTGACGACCGAGTTTCTCTGATGTCGACCAGAAACTGAAACAATCTCAAAACTGTATTCCTGACCGCGCACATTATTTTGTTATCCGTCTCCGCACACATTGTACCCTCCATGATCCGCTTCAGATATATCTGGTTAACTGTCATAACCAGAGCTCCTGAACAAGCACTGTAGAGATTACAAAACTAGAAACAAGATGGGTTTGAGACAATTTTGAGTCTCAACGACATAATTGAGACTGGTCTGAGACACTTATGACAACTCTGAATTTTTTTGAGAAAGTTGCTCAAATTTTTTAATATGTTGAAAATTCAAGCAGCAAGACTGAGTCTCTGTAAGAAATGTTTTTGTTTTCATTTGCCGACTAATGCCTGCAGTTTGGTCGCTCGGCAGCCGACCGGTCGACACGCGGTCACGTGGTTGTTCAGCGTTCGTTTTCGCACAGACCTTTCATAGTTCCTGAGACACCCCACACCGAGCTCCTGGGAAACCCCTCCTGCTGCAGCATACGTCACTGCATGGGATTCCTTCCCGGGGGAGTCCAATGCGGGGAAAAAAAAGTCCACGGCTCGTCACTTGACATTGTTTATCCACAAACTGGTCCCGGATTAAGCTCCAAAGTTTTTATCAGTCAGATTACACCGTGAAAAATATCTGTTTTATCCTCTTTTATGAGTTTTTGGCCATTTGACTATCTTTATAAACCGCTGCTTCCTAGTAACGGTCGGCTCTGGAACGAGTCACTTTTTTCTTCTTTTTCTTTATTTTTTAAGCGAGTGGTTGAAGCAAATGCAGTGTCTGCGCTTTCAGCACAAACAAGCACTCCCACGAACTTCTGACCAATCACACAATACAGTTCGTATGTGTTCTTATGTGGAGGGGATGAAAAGTGCGACCTGCGTGTTGCGACAAGAAGTGCTGAAATGTTGGCAATGCGAACAGAAGTGACGCAATTTTTGTCATAAAACTGCGACAGTTCGACACGATTTCGGCAGTTCGGCTGCAGCATGCTGGAGCCTTTAAGGTTAGCAGGAAGAAGTTTAGCCATAGGTAATTGGTCCGCTAAAGGTTTCTACAGTTAGCAGAAATGCTAATCTGCCTGATGAAAAGTTAGCTTTGCTGTTAGCTGTAAACATATTTGCATTTTCTCTGTATTTGGAATCCAGAGGACCAATTAGCTTCTGATAAATTTAGTTCTGGTAACTTTAAGTATACCAAAAAAACTGTTATAGAAGCTAAATGGCCCACTAACGGTTTCCAAAGATGGAGAAAATCCTGATCTGCTAAACAAAACTTTAGCTTCGCTATTCGCTTTACTGAACTACCAGGGGTCTCATTTATAAAGGATTGCGTGGAAACCATACTAAAAGTAAACGTACGGCCAGAAGGCAGAAATGGCGTACGCCAAAAAACATTCAGATTTATAAAACCGTACGTACACACGTTTCTGCGCATCTTTCATTTATAAATCACAGCTGCACGTCAGAGTTTGCACACGAGGTCCCGCCTCAGGTTCTACCCTCTACACGCCCACATTCAACCATAAACAGTCAATGTAAAGTACCTCATGAATGTTAAGATGTATTTAAATCAGTCAGCTGATCAATGATTGGCTCAGACGCTCTCCTTTGTGCGTCTGGAGGATGACAGGTGCTGACAGCTGCTGCTCATGTGAACAGAATGTCTGCAATTGACACAGATTTTTCCTCATTTTGCTTTAGAGTAATCTAACGATTTTTATTAAAAAAAACTCAGCTTCAAATTAATTTTCCCTCAGAGCCTGCAGGATGATAAAAACAATAAAAATTTGATTAAATAAGTCAGATAAAATTAGAGATAAGTCCTCCGCTCTTCTCCCCGTCCTCTCCCCTTCTTGCCTGGTCTGTTATCCGCGGCAGACACCCCCGCCCAACGCACACACACACGCATCCCCCCCGCGCGCGCGCGCCAAACACGGACTTTAAACGTGAAGGTTTATAACATTCACACTGGCGAGGTGGATGMGCCCTGCGCGTGTATCCAAAGCGTGACTTTTGCTGTCCTGTTGTTCTTGTCGGGGAGGGATCTGTGGGTCAGGGTCATCTGAGGAGGAAGCAGATGAAGGGAGCTACTTAAGTGATCTTTGTTTTCTGCTGAAAATCTGTTTTGTGGTTCACAATGAGCACAAAACCACCTTCGAAGAAGCCGAAGTCTTCTGTTCACCCCTGTCCTCAGGGGTGCGGCTTTAAGCTTCATGAGAAGGACCAGCATGAGTCCTGCCAGGCCTGCCTAGGAATCATTCATGCACGACRGGCACTTGTGGAGCCCGAGTCCTGCCAGGTCTGTGCCGGACTTTCGCATCCGACACTGGTGAGGAGAGTGAAATTCCTGGAGAAAATGCTGTTTTCCAACAAGACCCGCTGCTCTCCGAATCCAGCCAGACGGCTCAGTCCGACGAAGACGAGGATTCGGCAGTCGAAGCCCCCGCTGCTAGCTGGGCGGACCAGATGTAGCACGAGGCGGCCTCACCCAACATCAAGAGGGGGGAGACCTAGTTTCTACTGGATCTAAACCAAGAGGAGGACTATGTTC